GTTTCTTCCCTAAGTTTCAGTTTTTTTTAAGCATATGCTTATGGGTTTTACTTACAAACACAGTTTCACAAATTGTTTGAAGTATCCTGTATCCGTTGACTTAAAGATTGAGGCACAGTTTGTTTGAATTATCAGTTTGAAGGCCAATCACAAACTGTTTCACAGAAAGCATTCAAATCTTGGTTTCAAAAATAAAAAATGAGTTGCAATTATATTTATTTGTTTTGTTGGATTTCACTTATTGTGAGCTCAATTCCCATGTTTATTTTGCCTTCAATTTTTAGGCATTTTTCATGCAATACGATTTATTTGCTTCTCAGGAATCATTTAACTTAAAGGATATATGTTCATTTCAATATGATTAACAATGTCAGATTAAGTAAATCTTGAGTTTTAAGATGAAAGACAAATTTCCATCAATTTTTGTTAGATTAACTTCTAGAGTTTTCTTTTTAAGTTGAGTTCTTTTCAAGAAATGCCCCAAATTCATCATTTTTATTCAGCTTTTTTGTTAAGATTTTTGTTCAAATTTTTGTAACTCTTCACATTCCTTCATATTAAAATGAAATTAACAATGAGCTAATCGAAGAATTTATGGAACCAACCACAATTATATTAAGATTTCATTAACCATTTTTAAAGAACAATTTTTTCACAGGTTATATCAAATGGAACGTTATCTAAAGAGGAAAGAACCTTTAAATTTTGTTATAAATATATTTTTTATCTTTTTATAATTTTGCCCCCCCCCCTAAAAATTAAGGCTGGTTCTGCCCCTACTTTGGGATTTAAAATAGAATTATTTCATTTTTTCTTCTTCTTTATTATTGTTATTATTCTTTTTAATTAATTAATAACCATAATATTGATAATCAGAGCTGACTAATTACATTTAAAAATATATAAATATCAAAAAATATAATTAAATTAATATAGTTAATATTTGCATCATGATTAAAGTCTAAAATCCAAAATAATATTACAATAGCCGCAACAGACTACAAAAGAATATATATAAAACTAAAGAGCTGAAAATAAAACAAAATTATCATCACCATCTAATCTCACTCTGCAAGCTCTTTATATTTTCTTGAAATCATATAAAAATTACGTAATGGTCATATAACCCAGGCATTAACCAAAATTTATCACTATCTTTGATGTAAGACAAAAGAACCAATGTATTTTCTCATGTTCCAATTAATAGTCAATTAGTATAAGCAACAAGCAATCTAATGTGATCAGTAAAGTCAAAAGATGTCTATCAACTATAAGAAAAATAGGTAAAAATGACTTAATAAATATTATATGTTAGTATATTATGTCAGTGTACTTATCACCATATTGCATTTATATATCTATCAATGTCTATCAATATCCATGTCATGTTGTATTAATATCCATGCAGGTTATATCAGTTCTAATTCAATTTTATCTATCAATCAATTAATTTATATGCTATCATGTACTATTATGTAAATATAATCATGAATGTGATTATGAATAGCAAGGCAATATATCCAACTTTAATGTGGTGTTTTCAACATCTTTAACGACAATTGTTGACTAATTGGTCGTAAGTCTTTAATTTAACGCAAATGTCAATATACATCTATATTTATTTCTTCAAAAATCATAGACAATAGTCAAGAGTCATGCAAATATGACAAGCTGTCTGTGCACTCCTAAATACAAAAAATAACTAAGAAAATAAAAAGGCAAAATAACACTAAAACCCGAAGAACCATGTAACTTATCAATCTCAAGCTTTTGATCCTCTTTCCTGATCTTAAATCATTTAAATCATATATAATGAGATGAAAATCCCAATAAGTTAATAAAATCCTATCAGCAAACTCAAAGCATGGAAAAAAAAATATTATGCATGAAATCAATCAATTTATAATTGCAGTAGTCAATATAATTATGAATCTATGCAGAAATAGTAAAACCCATATAGTAACAATAAAGCCCATGAACCCATAAACCAATAAGGTACAAAGATTAATAAAAAAAATGCAGTGTAGTTTGAATGTCAAAGAAGTAAATCAATAAATCATCATTCTTAAATCATATGTCATAGTAGTGCTTTCCAATCAATAAAAAAATTATATAAATCAGGAAAACTAAAATATCTATGAAAACTATCAGAAATCATAACAATGTGGTATGGTATTATCTTAAAATTGTATAGGAGTGTGCACATGATGTTCAATTATCTCAATATCACCATCAATCAGTATCTTATATCACATGCTCGGTAATATAAATCAAGTGCTTAATAACAATAAATCATTACAATAACATTTGATCCACATTAATAAAAAAATAAATCATTAACACTGAAATAGTACAATGAATCATATTCAAGCAATCATACCAAAGCAATAAGGAGTTATGGATTATGTGATTTTTTTCAGTAATCAATAAATCAATAACCATTGGTTCAGTAAATGAGTCATCACTCTAGCAAGTCGTTATAATAATTAACTCCTTATAATTCTTAATAAGTGAATAATATAAATTAGTAGAGGATCACACAAAATTATAAATATTTAAATGAAAGCTCCTCTGTCCACCATCTTGTAAATGTATAAATTAGTTTTCAACCAACATTAGTAAATTATCAGCCTTTATTTGTCTTCACACATATCATCACTACAATATTAAAAAAGTAATAGCAACTAATGATTACCTAATTGCATGCCCATATTCATTAACAAAGCATTCATTAATAATATATATAATAGAATTAAAATGCCAAAATCATTATTCTATTTAATTTGTACAAAATGTAATAACTATAATTTTAATCGATGAAATTACAAAATCAACTAGTTAAAATGTCCAGAATAATCAATACTTCGATTAATAAAAAATTACGTGATAGAAATTCACTAAATCCGAAGAAAACGAAATAAAATCAATTTGAGGGAAATCAAACAGTCGAAAGAAAAATATTTGAAAATAGAGATATGATAGAAGCCACTTACAGCGATCTAACCAATTTTTATAAAAGTAGCATTGCAAGTCGGCTGCTAAATACACATTCTCTTTCCACTCTCCTCTCTTCTCCTTCCCTTCTCTTTTTTTTCCTTTCCTTGAATGGCAAGCCAAATAGGTGCGGGGGGTGAGGTGAGTTAAGAGAAAAAATATATATAGGAACTTATTTCAATGTCTGCGTTATGGCGCCTAAGTAATCTATCATCGTTGCACCTCATGTGATTCCAAAGTTATTGTATAACATAGAGTCATGACATCGAGGTGCCACTCTCTGACGCTTCTCAGCGTTGTTAGGCCTAAAGCACAATACCATAGTGCTCCATGCAGCTTTTTGAAAAAATCTAAAAATTTATATTATTCAAAATTAGGGTTATTATAATAAGCACTACACTTTGAAATATAATCAAGATTACTCTATTGAGGATGGGATGGTTATTATACTGATTTTTAATTGGTGCTCTTGTGTTGCTTGTAATTTTATCTTATAATTCTTCAAGGCTATATAACATCTCTTTTTCACTTGGTTTTTTTGTCTCCCTTCATATAAGCAGGACTTGGTAGACCACTAATAATCTCTTGATGACATCTCCAATGTCTCAAGGCTTATCCTACTTCGAGCATGAAAGTCTTTTTTTTTTTTTCGAGCATGAAAGTCTTGTTTTAAATTTTATGTTTGCGCATTGATCTAATTTTTCTCAAATTGTAATGAAGGCCATCCTTCATAATTTACAACTCACAATATTTGAATCATTTCAAGTAGGGTAGACCTCATTGTTTTTTTCATTCCTATGTTTTTCATGTTCTTATGAGATTCCTTTAGCTCACTTACTCATATATGTGTGTAATTTACATATAATATTAAAATAACAACTCTCTATACCACTATGGATGTTCCAGCGCACAACACTCTTTATGAAACCTCATATATATTTTTCCCCAAAGAAAACTATCAAATATAAGCTTTTGTTAGAAAGAGAGCTTTTTAGAGAGAATATTTATAGATTTTAGAAAGCTGGTTCTTTAGCCTAAGTATACGATAACTTCATAAATTTGCTATATTAGAAAATTCATGGATCTATTTGCTCGTATCTGCACATTAGCATCAACTCTCTATTTATAGATGTGGGTGAAATGTGGTTGTACATAGAGGGTTACATTACAAAAAATACAGGAAATTGTTGAATAAACTTAGTGTAGCCCGATGTTTAGTGGATGAGTTTGACTAATCATTGTTAACTAGATGGACATTTCAGGTGAGTTCCAAATGGAGAGCAAGTACCTCTTGATGAGTTCTTCTTGTAAGAACCACTAGTCGTTGCTTAGTACTCTGGTAAGAGTTGGTGACATATACAAGTAGTTAACCCTGATGAGTATGTGACTTCGTGAACCCTAGCTCTAAGCCGAATTTAGTAGAGTAAGATTTCTCTCATGAGCAACATAATGTCTAACTGAATAGAAACTTTGGATGAGCATTGCGTATGTCCATAACAACAAGTTGAGTTGCTTTTATGCTTCTATTATAATTTGATCATTCTGATCAAAATAAATATGAATCTAAATGCTAGAGATTGTTTAGTGACAATTATGCAACTTAAGAAATTTCTTTTGTTGATTAACATGTCATTATATATATATCTAATCAACTAATATAGCCTCATCATTTATTTACCAAGTTTAATTTTTTTGGTTATAACAATCAAAATTTCATTTAAAAATTTTATCATTATTAATGTTAAAATTTTATGTCATTACTATTATTTTTGTGATATTTTATTTTTAATTACTATTAGTTTTGGTTTGTAAGGCAAACAAAAAAAATATTATATATTAAATTGACTGCCAAATATAAAAATCGCATTATTATAATGAGATGAATGGGTCTATCTAATACTAACGAAAACAACAAGCTTCTTGCAAAATTTGTCATAATAATCCATCTAAGGTAATACCGTCTGCGTTTGCCTGGCGGAATACTATAAAATAAAGGCTGCACTTCAACCCTATACCGGATCTGCCCCTCCTTCCTAAGGCCAATAGTGTCGAGGTCCTGCAAAATATCCTCCGAGGTGCGAGAGAGGGCAGGCGTCGCCAGCCTCTCAATCATTTCCCAATATTGGAAACCTTCGCCTCCTCGTCCTCCTCCTCCTCTCCCCTTCTTCCCGTTCTATCCTAGATTCCCGCGAGACCCCAACAGAAGAGCAGATCTTCTTACTTAACGGAAGTCGCCTCAGTGGAGTAAACAGAGAAAGATAGTATCAAATTAATATCGGATCCCTGACTGGAGATATCTAGGGTTCGGCGCCAGGTTAGACCCTTGTCGGCATGCCGTGGCGCGTCGATTGAGGGCGGAATTTGGGGAGGATCGAGAGGAGGCAGTGATGTATAGGGACCGAGGATCGGGAGGAGGGATGAGCGCTGCCAAGGCCGAGATTGGCACCCTTGATCGGAAACGAATCAACGATGCGCTCGACAAGCACCTGGAGAAATCTTCGCCGTCGACATCCCGGGGGATTAACGGCAAAGAGAAGGAGCGGCTATCGGTGCCATCGACCTCAGCTGGAAAGCAGCATGATAACCCGGCCGGCCTCTCCAAAAACAAACGCTCCGATGGTGAGCTTTCTTGGTGTTTTTTTTTTTTTTAATAATTTTATTTCTGATGTTTTTTGGCCCTTCACCTTCCTCTTTTTGGGATACGGGCATGATGCTTTGAAAAGTTGAAGTTTTTATTATCATAGGCTGATTGGTAGTACTGTGTTGGTTCATCGCATCCACATTGAAGTGCTGTTGTTTTGCTTGCTCACATGCTCGTTCTTGTCCCCTTTAAATTTAACATCTTGCAGACGAATCTGATAGCGAGGAATCCGATGTTAGTGGTTCTGATGGAGATGACACTTCATGGATCGCATGGTTCTGTAGCTTGAAAGGCAACGAATTCTTCTGTGAAGTGGATGATGAATATATACAAGATGATTTCAATCTCTGTGGGTTAAGCAGCCAAGTCCCTTACTACGATTATGCCCTTGATCTGATTTTGGATGTTGAATCTTCTCATGGTGAGAATGCAAATTTTTTTTTTCAAAGTTATCTTTTTATTAACGGTGCGCTTTCTTTTAAGTTAATGGTTTTGCCTTCAAAATGTCAGATGAATATTGATTTGTCATAAATGTACGCAATATATGCATATATTGTTTCTTGCGCAGTTGCACCAAATGGCATATGGTATTTCTTGGAGTAATTGAATATTCTTTTAATTAAATTTCCATAAGACTTTGATTTTTTGGGGTAGGATGAGTAACATAGTTATTATCAAGGATTTACAGTTTTAAGTTTCAAAATAAAATTTGACAATGTATTCTAGTTCTTCTTTGTGGCATAAGGTTTAATCCTCCTCTTCTTTCTCTTTCTCCTATTCATTGGCCTTCTTAGTATTATTAGGGTTGGTTTTATGAATCCTCCATCTCCATTCATTCCTATTGAATGTTACATAATTTGTTAATTATATTTTATGCTTTTTTCCCCCCTCAACTTTTAGCCTTTTTACCTTTGGTCTGCTATCTTCTCTTCTTATTCCTTTCATATCAAGAAATATATGTTCATTAGCACATCTTTTATACTTTATTTTACATGCCCTCTAACCATTAATCTTTTTCCCACAACTTATAATATTAGGTTCCACTCTTTCCATCTCTTGATTAATTATTTCTCACTCAATTCTCCCAATCTTTCCACCCATCCATTTAAACATTCATATTTTTGCCACATTCAGATTGGTTATGAATGATTTATTTGTTTCCAAACACTTGGATCCCTTTAGCATAATTGGTCTAATTACAATTTATGAACTCACCTCTACTTTTCGTGGCACTTGTCCATCTTGACCATCCAACTTAAGCTTAGAAGTTATACCTTATATATTTCTCCATTCTTTACAATGAGCATATTATGAAAAATATCCAAATATTAATTGAGATATTATTAATGAGGCCTATTTGAGAGTCATATTTAGACAATACTGATTCAAAAACAAACTATATTGTAGGTGGAGTCAACACCATAATTCAGTTTATTAACCCACCCTATCATTAACTTAATCGGCTCAATGTCTATTGGATGAAATCCATAGTGTTGGTTCCACCATATTTGACCCAAAAAAAACTGTATTATTCTATAGACGTTTAAAATCATATAAAATTTAATTAGTTTGAATAATAGTTCATATGTATTCTGCACCTAAGACAACCCCTTAACCCTCTTTAACCACTTTCCATCTCCATTCCCAAATTCCTTACCTTATTAAAGTTTGTCCCTATTATATTATTTCTTAAGATATCTTTTATCATGCAATACTTATTTTTCCAAGCCTAATAATTCATGAGCATCTCATAATGACATTTGTCCTTCTTCACATATATAAGTGATATAATTGATGGGAAAAAGTGATATAATTGACGGGAAACAAATAATATTCCTTATATCTCTAAATCCTAAATCAATTTTATATTATATGTTAATGCAATAGTAATTTGGGTGAGATGCAATTTCAAGTTGTATTATCAGAGACCCTTCGGGCACTCGCCTAGATGCCCTAGTGAGGCGAGGTTGTAATTCCTCACAGTCCTCTTAGGAAAACAACATTACTAAGGAATCACTTACACCGTGGAGTAATGCGCTTGCCTCTTTAATGATTTTTTTATTCTTATTTAAAAGCATTCATAACCTTAATGTTTGAAAAGGAATCTATGTAAAAGTCAAGGTTTAAAATTGTACAATTGGGTATTGAGATATTTTTCATTCGTGATGCGAAGCATAAGCCTCAAGATATTTTGAAGTGTAAGCCTCAAAATTCAAAAATTGTTTAAAGTGAGAATAAAGACAAAAGTAATTTTTATATAATACCTAAATAATATATTAAGGACGACATATTAACTTTATATTGAATAATGAAGTAAGAAATTGACATACATATGAAATAAAAAATTGCACTAGACGTAAAGTGGTAAGTGATAAATTGCATGAAATAGAATTGAAATCTAGATATTGCAAGAGTAGAGCAACATAAAATATAGAAATTAGATAAAAGTATCATATAACATCAAGTTCAACTTAAATTTCTTCTTTCTAAGTTTCTCAGTTCCCTATTAATCCACATTTAATTCTTAAAGAAAGCTTGAGGCGTAAGCCTCGAGGTGAATTTCACTAGATTTTCACTGAGGGTGCCTTCTATTACATAATTTTAAACAATGGTAAAGTAACAAATGGTATAAAATTTTTTTTAGTACTCAAAATCCTCTTCTAGATATATATTAGGTCATCAAAAGTTGCTTGATATAGTTTGTGTGAAGTAAAATGAAGGTCCCATGCTTGATATAAGATTTAGTTGATCCATATTGTCTCATTAATAAGGATGATGGTAATGACTGGCTAATTTGAGAGATGAGCCTTAATATCTCAAACGTCGATGATAAATTGGTGTTTGATCATAAAGATTTGACAGGATTCTGAAATAGCATTAGGAGTTGAAGGAAAAAAGGATGCTCACTAGGAAACATGTTAAATCAAATATAGGTTCAAGAACTTCTAGTTCTACCACAATAGATTTTAATGATGAAGAGGATGAGACTAAGGAGATAAAAGAAGAGCTAGAGTGCTACAAATCCAGTGATGGAGAAAAGAATATGGTTGGCAAGATTTTCATTTTGATACTTGTAAAGAAATAAAACCCAGATATGTAACTTTTTCCTACTATAATAGAACTTGTTAAAATGATGACTATATATTGTATTCTCCAAAAGTATTCCTCATAATTAAAATATGTGAACTTTTAGCATCTTCATTCAGAAGAGTGCTTAGACGTTGGGCATTATGTAGACATATCTCCTTGAGGGTGCCTAGCGACTTTATTAACACTATTTTTTACTTGCAAATTTCTCTAGCAAGTAGTCCATCAAACAACACTTATTTTCTCGTAGAGATATATTTGTGAGCTTGTGAAAGGGTGGCCATACCTAGTGAAGTTATTTAAAATACAATTTCAAGAGGCACAATGATGTGTCCAAACTTCCCCTAAGATGTTCATAGTTTATTTAGATTTGAGGTCTAGACTTGTTACTTGTGTAAGCTCCCTCAATTAATTAGCCTTTCTGCATATAATAATAAACTCTCGATTAAGGAGGCCACTTAAGCTCAATTATTTAGTCTCAAATTTGGCTAAGTTAGGAAGTTATTTTAGGGATGAAGACAACCCCAATTAAGATGATATGGTTTTTACATCCTATGTTCATCAATTGGTCTGGCCTACGTATGTCAAAAGGTTTCGAGCTATAATGTCAGAGCTTGATTAATAATCATTCTCAGGTATTCTAAGTAGTTCGGAGTGGATATATGTGTCAAATGTGTGTTTGAGATTGAATTTGACTGCATTACTAAATATAGCATAAATAGAGATTATTGAATCCCAACTCATTAAAATGAGTTGTTGGTCTATTGTCCTTCAGAATTTCTAGAATACCAAGATTTTAATAGTGTATTATGGTCTCTAAATCCCATTGGGTGAACAACCTAACTCCCTTCCTTTATCCATCTATCAGCGAGCAATTTTTTTTCATTATGCACATGAAATTGGCTAGCAAGTACATGAGAATTGTAAAAATAAATACGCTATCCATTTTTTATGGCTTTATAAGTTGAAACTTTGCAAAAGCTTGGAACAAAAAAGATGTAAATATAATTTAATGGCAAATAAATTCCTTAGCTTTACCCATCTATCATTTATCAATATGATATAATGTGATTTGGTTGTCAATAAAAAGCTAAATGAGTAGTAGTACATCATTCAAAAACTTTAGTACTATAACATTTTAAATTATTAAAGAACCTTGATTGGAAATACTTGAATTCGCAAGTAACCCTAAGGTAATACTTGAGTTCGCAAGCAACCCTATCCCAAATTGGAGAAAAAACAGCAACAAACTGCTGTTTACAGCAGTTTACAGCCCCAAACAGTGAAAAACAGCAAGAAATTGAGTAGGAATCTGAAGAAAATCAAGCCAACCACTTGTATTCCACTAGTAGATGAAAGAAAACAATAACCATACAAGATTCTTCAATTCAAGAGGAAGAGAACTCTCCAAAATCTCTAGCCAAGAAGACCCAAGCCTCCAAGAAGATCCTCAAAATCAGCCCAAATTCAAGATGTAAAATTAAATCCCCACCTTTCCCCCTCTTTAACACCAATCCCCATACAAAATCCCTAAACAGCCCTTCTATTTAATTTTTCCCCTCTTCCATTCAAATTTTCCCTCCAACACTTGAATTAAACCCCATCATGGGCCCCAAGACTTTCCCCCCTCCAACACTTGAATTAAACCCCGCGTGGGGCCTGCCTAGAGTAAGTAAGGAGCCTAACATTACTCCCCTCCCAAAGACTCACCTTGTCCTCAAGTTGAAATGAAGGGAATTAATCTTTCATTCTTTCAAATGGCTCCCACGTAGTATCAAATTCGGGGAAGCCTCTCTATCTAATCAACACTTCTTTGTTGCCCTCTTTATCTGTTCTTACTTCTATAAGTTCCAGTGGTTCAAAGACTACTTTTAAATCCTCAGTCAGTGTAGAAGGTAATTCTGCACTAGCTGCATGCTCCCCTAGAGCTCTCCTCAACTGAGACACATGGAAAACTGGGTGTATAGTGGCTGATGCTGGTAACTTCAATCGGTACGCCACTGCCCCAATCATGTCCGAAACCCATCGGGGCCGAAGTATCGCGGCGCCAATTTCTTGTTTCTCCTTCTTGCCACTGTTCTTTTCCTGTAAGGGCATAGTTTTAGGAACACATTCTCTCCCACTTCAAACTGCATGTCCCTCCTATGTGAGTCCGCCTGCTTTTTCATGATTTGTTGTGCCCTTAGCAGATGTTTCTTCAACTCTTCCAGCACCTTGTCCCTTTCCTCCAAGTACTACTCGACTGAAGAAACTGGTGTGCTTCCCATTCCATAATGCACTAGGTGTGGAGGATCCCTCCATACATCACTTTGAAAGGAGTCATCTGAGAAGCAG